CTGGATGAAATGTTCCATAGATATGTGCCAGGTCCAATTGGTCTAAAGTGTTGTTTAGGTGTTGTGTTTCTCTGTTGATTTTTTGCCTAGATGATGTGTCCAGTGTTGAAAGTGGGGTGTTCAGTTCCCCTAGTATTATGGTATTTGGGTCTGTCTCTTCCCTAATAGTATTTGCTTTTTATATCTGGCTGCTCTGATGCTGGGTGCATATATATTTATGATTGCTATGTCTTCTTGCTGGATAGATCCCTTTATCATTTTATAGTGGCCTTCTTTATCTCTTTTTATGGTTTTTGGTTTAAAGTCTATTTTATCCAATATAAGAATCGCTCCTCCAGCTTGCTTTTCGTTTCTCTTTGCATGACATATCTTTTTCCATCCTTTCACTCTTAGTCTGTGTGTGTCTTTACAGGTAAAGTGAGTCTCTTGAAGACAGCATATTATTGGGTCTAATTTTTAATCCAATTAGTCAGCCTGTTTTTTGAGTAGGGAATTTAATCCTTTTACATCGAGTTATTATTGAAAGGTGTAGATTTACTCCTGGCATTTTATTGATACATCTTTTGTTCCTTTCTTTCCATTTTACTGTTTGTCTTCTGTGTTTGTTAGTTTCTTGAGGTGGTAGATAATGTTCTTTTCTCTTTATTGTTTGCATTTTTGTTTTAGTGGTGTGTTTTGTTCTTTCTTGAGTATTCATGGTAGTGATGGTTGTTTTTCAGGTACCAGGCACAGTACTCCCTTGAGAATTTCTTGTAGGGCTGGTCGTGTGGTGTTGAGCTCCCATGGTTTTGTTTGTCTGAGAAATATACTGTTTGTCCTTCATTTCAGAAGGATGGCCTTGCTGGGTATAGTATTCTTGGCTGGCAATTTTTGTCATTTGGTATTTTGAATATATCATCCCATTCTCTTCTGGCTTTTAGGGTTTCTGATGAAAAGTCGGCTGTTAGACTGATAGGGACTCCCTTATAGGTGACTCAATGCTTTTCTCTCAGAGCTTTTAAGATTCTCTCTTTGTCTTTGAGCTTTGCCAATTTGACTATAACATGTCTGGGAAAGGACCTTTCTGGGTTAAATTTGTTTGGGGATCTTTGAGCCTGGTAGATTTATTTATCTTCAGGTCTGTATTTATTTATCTTCACATCTGTATCTCTCCCTAAACCTGGGAAGTTTTCTGCTCTTATTTTGTTGAATATGTTTTCAGTGCCTTTTTCTTTTTCCTCTCCTTCTAGAACACCCATGATTCAGATATTTGAGCACTTAAGGTTTTCTGCTGTCTCTCTCAGATTTTCTTCATTTAAAAAAATTTTTTTTTCTTTTTTTGTGCACTTGGGTTATTTTGAAAAGGCCATCTTCAAGATCAGAAATCCTCTCTTCTACTTGTTCTAGTCTGCTATTTAAGCTCTCTGTTGTGTTTTTTATTTTGTTAAAAGAATCCTTCAGCTCCTCAAGCTCTGCTACATTCTTTTTTAGGACATTAATTTCTTTGTACATTTCCTCCTTTGTGTCTTGGATACTTTTTATCATTTCTTTATGTTGTCTATCTGAATCTTCTTGTATCTCATTGAGTTTTCTTAGAATTGTTGCTCAAATTCCCTTTTCAGTCATTTCAAAGACTTCCTGTTCTATAGGATCTGGTTTTTGAGAATTATTATATTCCTTTCATGGTGTCATATTTCCTTGTTTTTTTTTTTATTTTTTTGTCTTTTGTCTTTTTTCCGTGTCCGGCAACGGATCGCAACCCTCAGTGTTGCCCCCGTACCGGACCGGGGACCGGCAACGGGATTGCAACCCTCGGCGTCGCCCCCGCGCCTCGCTCAGCCAGTGAGCGGGAACCGGTCTGTATGTGGGATCCGAACCCTCGGGCGGGAGCGCCACCGCGCTTCCCAAGCGGCGCACTATCCAGGCAACCCTCAGTGTTGCCCCCGCACCGGGCCGGGGACCGGCAACGGGATTGCAACCCTCAGCGTCGCCCCCATGCCTCGCTCAGCCAGTGAGCGGGAACCGGTCTGTATGTGGGATCCGAACCCTCGAGCAGGAGCGCCACCGCGCTTCCCAAGCGGCGCACTATCCAGTGCGCCACCGGGCCGGCCCAATTTCCTTGTTTTTTTATATTTCTAGTATCTCTACGTTGGTGTTTGGTCATATGGTAGAAAAGTTGCGCTTTTTCTCATACTCTGGAGTGGGGTTTGCAGAGAGGGAGTTCCTCATGTGGATGTGTGTTATAATGACAGTTGAGTGGGGTGTTTTAATATTGGCTCCAGGTAGACACAGTAGTGTACTCTCTGTGTAGGTACTTTGGCTGAATTCGGTGTTGGAGTTATGTGAGAGTGCCTCTGTGACCTACTCCCTGGGACACTTAGAATTTCCTTGCTGAGGTTGGTGACACTATGTTAGTTCATCAGGGCATGGACAAACTCTTAAATTTTGGAGGGTAGCACCTGGAGTCTTGTCACTCTTAGGTTATGGTGGGTGTTCTTGGGCAGGACTGTTGGCACCTTGGCTAGCTCACCCTGGCCCTGAGAGGTGCACTGGAGTACACTAGTGCTCCTCAATTTGAATGGGTGACTTTGGGTGGGTCTTCTCTTTTTTCTTTACTCTTTCCCTAGGCTCCACTGGTAAGCCTCCTTCTGTCTATACTTATGAAAGGTACCCAATGAAGTATCAGTGCCTGCTGTTATGACAGCGAGCCATCCTTGTGGCAGCAGTTGCTGTGATAGTGGCTGTCATGGACCACTCATTCCACACTGGTGTCCACAGTAGTGATAGGGAGTGTTGCTGACGGTGAGGCTATCTATCTCTCTGGCAGGGCCTTGGAGGTGGCTATGAGGGTCTCTCAGGGGTGGGGCTCACTTCAGAAGTCTAAGTTTTTGAATACAGATTGATCTAGTAACTATTTTAGTCAAGATTTCAGGATTGAAAGAGTATTGCTGATCATTTGAGTATGATTTTATGATTCAGGAGTTGCTATATGATCAAGCTTCGAAAGTTCATGGAAAGATTTGTAATATCTTTTAATCTCATTTTTCCACGAACTTTTTGAAGTCCCTTAATATATACCTAGAAATATCTTTTTCTAGCTACTGATTAGTGCATTTAATTCAGGGAACGTGAAGAATTAATTTGTTATAAATAAGGATTTTGGCAGATACTCATGCTGTTTTAGCAACCTTTTCCAATACGTTATAATATCTGCTATTCTCAAGAGATAGAAAAATAAATCTTGGAAAATCTCAGAGTGTCAGAAATTGTAGTTGGCAAGAAAAATGCTTCAAATAAACACCTCAAATTGTGTACTCACTGTTTTAAAACTGATCTCATAGAACTCTCACCTGGATTTTTAATATTTTGACTAACATTCTACCCTATTTCTTACAATTTCTTGAAGTAGCATAAGAGAAAGAGTTCAAATGTGTAAAACACATGTACAACTGATACATTTTGCTTTTCTGAATAAATGCAAGTTTTAATTTTACCTTGCCAATGAAATCTTTTATTTGTAGCACCATAGATAAATTCCTAGAAAGTTGTTTGGATTAGTGTGCCCATTTATAGATGTTTTAAGAATGTACTTAGCTTAATTTTTGTGCATAGCGTTTAGTCAATAACATAGTGGCCCAGGGTTAGTGTTTTCTCTGTATGTGATAGAGATTTACTAACATTGCAGTAAATACCACCACATAACTGTAAACTCTTTGAGGTTAAACAACTCAGTAAACATGTTGGAATCTTCCTAGTGTTCATTTTCACTAGGCTTTTCACAGCCTCTTAAACCCAGCTGAAGAGTCACACTTCTGAGAATCACACATGACTCACCCCACGCCATTCTGAGTTCCTCTTATGTTTCCACTCTGGCAACAATTTGGACTTTCCTTTTCCTGGGTGGTTGTTCTGTTTTGTAATGTTTGTAAATGTCTGTGTATTGGTATCACCCATTAAACTCTGATTTCTTTGAAAACCAAGGATTTATTTTTCTTGTTTTTCCTGTCTTAGTTCTCCCTAGGATACTATAAGTCATTGTAAATGTCTGTGTATTGGTATCACCCATTAAACTCTGATTTCTTTGAAAACCAAGGATTTGTTTTTCTTGTTTTTCCTGTCTTAGTTCTCCCTAGGATACTATAAGTCATAGTGTTTGTTCTTCTAGGCTCCTTTTGGATTTGAGAGCCAGGATACCATAGCTGCAGAACAAATTTCAGATTGGAAAGAAGAGGGCAGAGGACAATAGGGGGGAAGGGAAGGATCTATTCATTGATCCACAATTAATAGGATGCACCTTGCTCTCCACCTTCCTGCCCCAAACTCCAATTTCTCATGCTTCTACTAGCACTAATGCAGTCTAGGCAGCATGCTTCCTGTGCACATCAGCAGCCGCCATGCAAATGTCTTGCCTCCTATGGACGCCTTCACTATTCATTTTAATCAGATTTCACTTGTATAAAATGTATTAAAAAGATCAGCAAGTGAAGAGAGGACCAATTCATTGTAATTGTCCATGGTACCCTCATTCTTCTGGACATGGTTATAACTTTTATAGCACCTAGTACAGTATTCAGGGGGTGTTCAATGAAAAGTATTGACTGACTCATATAGGAATATGGGTATGGAATATGAAGTACAACAAAAGTGAAACATTTATGGTGACACTGAAAGTATTGTGTCATACTCTGAATTTTGTTGGTCTTAAACTAATATGAAAACAAATTGTCTATAAGTTATGTGAGATGCAGATGGAAGAAAATTGGGTTAGAAGCAGGTCAGCATGGCCTGGGGGTTGAGGATCCTTTGAAAGTTTTCTGCCAATAATTTATATAGACTGATCAATAGGAACTTAATTTTTTAAAACAGCTACTTTATGTGTGAGTAAATAAAGAAGATTTGATAACATATTGACTATAAGATTTGGGGTGCTAGCTTTAAAAACCTTTATGGAAAGACATTTCACTTATATAATATTGGGTAATTTAGGTTACTGAACTTCTTTTATTACTTATTTCCCGTAGCTCTGCCAGTGAATCTGGTTCCCAAAGCACTTGTGATCAACTTGTAACTCCAACAGCCCTGGCTGCCTGTACCAGAGTGGACTCCTGTTTTACCCCATGGTTTGTCCCATCTCTCTGCATTTCCTTCCAATTTGCTTGCCTGGAGTTCCGTCTTTGTCATCACCTTGATCAACTAGGCACAGGTATCTTTACTTTAGCATCAGAATAACATCCACTTAATGTTTACTGTTTCCTCCTGAATGTTCTCAAGACACAATTCATCCATTTTTACCCTTATAATTTTCAGAAAATATAAAGTGAGCACTGGCAAAGTTATTGTAAAGTTGATTTGGTACAAAAGTGCACCCCTTACTTTTGAACCAGCTTATGGACCTATGATATAAGTTACCAATGGTGTTGAGCTGCCATGTTTCTGCATGCTTCCTAATGAGAATTTTCAAGGAAGTTACAAAAATTGCAGGTTTACTATTATTTGAAATTATGATCTTTTTGAAAGAAACACGTCTGTTTTTGTTCTGTCTTCTGAGCCATTCCATGACTGGCAAATAGATTTCGAAAGTACTTAATATTGCCTGATTTCAAAAGAATGAATACCATCTACAAAAGAGGTGCCTATTCTCAAATTAATTTAAAGGAGTGCTGTTTTTATAAGTTTAGAAGGAAGAAGATTAAATTTTCCCACACACCCAAAGTAGCCTTTTATAAATTTGCTAATGTTACTTGAATAATTATTTCTAAACCATTTATATTCTGTACCAAACCTTTTCTACTTAATACATTTTGATTCAGGTATTAGGTTTTCAACCTACGTGTAATGGAAAAGGGAAAACATCAGATTAAAACCAAACACAGCTGCTGTTAAGCATCTTGCCTTTTCAGCAAAAATGGAGTTTAGCTTACTTTTTTCTAAATCTCCTTGAATCATGTTTTTGTTTTTATTTTTGAGATTTGGTTGGTAGATACAGAGCAGTGCTATAAAACTCTCCTTAGATAGTTACCTCCTCTTCATTTTACTTGTCTTCTGTGATCAAATTCTTGTCTGTGAAAGTGAAAGTAATCTTTGAACAATATGAATTTAAGAGACCTGATAGAACAAAAGTTTTGTTTGCAAGTATCAAATGGTAATTCAAAGATTGTAATATCTTTCAATGTTTGAATTTATTAAACACAATATATTAAATTCAGTAACCAAAAAGTAAGTTAAATGTCATCTCACTCTTTATTTCCATGAAGTATTGGCTCATCTTAACTGCTGGTTTTGTTTTCTTAACAGCGCAACCACAGCACCTAAAGCCATTCATTTCTGATAAAAATGTGCCATCTGAACTAGAATACATGATTGTTTCCTTCAGAGAACCACACGTGTATCTTCGACAGTGGAATAATGGTTCTGTCTGTCAGGAGATTCGATTCTCAGCTCAAACAGACTGTAAACTTCTAGAGTGCAGAAATGTTACAATGCAAAGCGTGGTGAAACCCTTCAGCATGTTTGGACAGGTTGCAGTTTCCAGCAGTACAGTTGAAAAGCAGCTCGACTGCACCATGATAGTTGACTCTATATTTGTAAACTTTGGACAGCATATAGTTCATTCTCTAAACACTGCAATACAAGCTTGGCAACAGGTATGCACATTCCAGAACAGCTTACAGTTTGGTTGCTTATGATCTTTTATTAGGTATTGAATGTTATCACTTTTAATAATAGTTTAAACACAAACAAAAATGTAAGAGAATGAAAAAATTTGATGGGCACCATAATATTTGGGGCCTTCTCTGTTTTGGCAAAGTGTTGCATGTTATTTTTTAAAAACTTTGGGGAATATGGGTTCCCCACACATGAGTTGGTGATCATGCCCACATTTTTGTGACTAATGTACCACATCTGTGTGGAAAGTAACATATTCCCAGAAATTTTTTCCAAGTATTGTGGCTTTAGTTTGCCAAACCTTTAACTTAGCTATGTACCAAATTGTCTCAGGGTCCATTGCAGAAATGAAGAACCTGTGTGAGCCTTTCTGTTAATAAGCATTTCATCTTTTCAAACAAAAGAAAACAGTGAGATGAACTAGTCTTCGTCTTTTCCTCTACTGTCATTCTGCCTTTTTTGATTCACTAAAAAGTGCTGGATAATGGATTGTGTGGGTCAGTTAGAGACTCTTTTTATTTTATTATTATTTTTTTTTAATGTGGATCAAAATTTTAATTTTTTTTTCATTAAATTTTTATTTTGTCAATATACAATGTAGAGACTCTTGATTAATAATTTTTAACTCTTATCTCATCAGAAATTAGCTGTATCCAAAAAGGGATGCAGTATAAGTCTATGCTAAATGGCATATTTAAAATGGGAAACTTGTCCATATCTGCTAGCATGAGAGTAATTTCACAGAATGTTTGGTTGATGTGTTCATTGATTTAAAAACAAATCACTTCTGCTTTCATTACTGATTTTCAGTGTTCTATTGTATGTCTATCAAGTTTGTGTTGCTGTTTAAGCTGAGACATTTCTTCACATTTTGTATATGTTACATACATTTGTGTGGAGCTGGCTGTCTGAGAGAAATGGTCCTTCATTCCACAGTGACCTCTTGAGTATGGGAGTAGGGGGGTGGCTCTGGTTCTCTAACTTAAGAATTTTTATGGGAATAAACTATTTTCTTTATATGCATGAAGACCTATACAAGACTAAGGAATTAATTACCTAACATGGCACTGTAATAGCAAAAGGAAAGAAGATAACACATCTGTTTTGTATTTTAAAAATCTTTTTTAAGGGCATTCCATGGTTTTCTTGTTGCAAAGGACATGCGTAAAATAAGAGCTAGTGTGATCTAAATCTTTGCAGCTGGTTCAAATAGTAATGTGAAAAAACCTCCATGGCTCCAATTTCTGTTTTTTTTTGTCATATTTTGAACAATGCATTTAATAAAAAACAAACCTAGAAAATATAAAAGAGTCATTGATAGAGCATTTAAACCTAGGATATTTTTGTCTTGGTATCAGAGCCATTATAAAAGGACTCATGTGTAGCAACTACTGCAAAATGGCCTTCAGAAATATCAGTTTCCTCCCAGGATAAAAATATTCTCTTAGACATAGCTAGCTGTACATATAAATAAAATATGGTACATAAATATTTAAATGTTTTAAACCACATCAGAGTGTGAATGACTGACTGGTTAACACAGTGCCTTGAAGGAATATTCTGAGTTTTTTAAAAAATGGAATTGTATATTTGATTAAGTAGAGCCATATGTCACGTAGCATATTGCTGACAGGTACATTCTATGAATAGTTGGTTCTGATTTATACAGGGATTTGGCAATGTTAGCATGAGCCACAAGAGGATATACTTCTGTAATTGTTGCTGTAATTTTCTTGTTTCCTCCCATGTCAGGGGTACTTGCCACCAAGTGTTAATGTGGTAAGCATCTAACCCTGTGTATTCTAAAGTAAATACAAAAGTGCACTACCTTGAAATTATAGGACATTTGACATTGAAATGGACTTATAGAGGTTTATTAAGTTCATTGTTTCTAAGATGTTCTGAATGTGGTTTATCCCCTTTAGAGGGGAAGTTTCGTTTCCCGTACTTGGGTTTTATCGTACGTATAATGTTCACATACAGTGTAAGTGTTACCAGTGAGAAATATGAATTCAATAAGCAGGATAAGTGATCTGAGTTCTCTACATACCTTTTGTTGGATTTATATTGGAGACAAGTAGTTTGATCCAGTGTGGATGGACTAGACAGTTGAAGCATGGAACAATTTGGCCTTTCACCTTTAAGCCATGAATGAGTTCAAGATTAACAGAAGCCTTCATCAGTGTCTGATTTCTCTGGCTGTAGATTTTTTCTCTTCTCTTTTATAAACTGTTGTATAAAACCAGATGAAGAACCCAAAATACCACTTGCAGTTTGCTTTATATTTCTATGTCACATTCCCAGATTTGGACGAAATAGCACTTAAAGGGTTTTTTTTTTTTAATGAAGGTTACACTCATGTATCTTCTTTTACATCAAAATGATATCTGTATTTAGTTTCAAATGCTTGTACAACACTCCAGAAACTTAAATAGGAATAAGCCATCTTTTCGTTTACAAATTCAAGTGAGCATTCTGAAGCTCAGCATATGTGATGTCACATTAAATGCTTATGAACCTTTTTGTAATGTACCAGAACTTAAGACATTCCAAGAAATGCTTAAACTTATTACAGTTATAATGAACTCCACAGATGAAGGAGCAGTAGAGAAACAGTTCCCTGAGGACTCTGAGTATTCTTTAGAAAAATGTAAACAACCCCCTTGTGTTCTTTAATTTACATTTTTTCCTAAAACCCTCATCATTTATTAAAGGTCAGTTTTTAGAGATGAGGAAAGTAATATCTTTTTTTTCTACTCAAGCTCCATCTGGTAATTTAACCTCTATGTTACCAGCAGATTGATCCTAATTTATTATAAAAACTAAATTTTGTACTCAGGATATGTAAATAAATAGGAGATTAGAATCATATCACTTTCTTCATGTCTGTATCTTAGACTGAAAAAAAAGAAAAATATTTACAAGGAGAGCAGTTTATGTTGATTATATAATGCTAAATGGAAAAGTCTCATCAAAACTAATTATCTACTATGATTCCAGTTTGATTAAAGGTTTGTAGATAAATATATAAGATAGTATTGGATAGGATAGTCTAGAATAATAACAGGCAGGACATAGAAGAGAAAAATTTCTTGAAGAAAATTTACCAAAATATTAAAGCAGTTATCACTGAGTGTAAAATTAGAGTTTTTTTAAAAATCCATAATTTGATTTTCTATTTTTTGTACAGTGAACATAGATTACACTTATAATTTTTAAAATTAAATCTCATTTTTTTGTTCCCTAAGTATTAGTATTTAGCTTATTAAGTATTTATGTGGCAGGCATTGTGCTAGGTACTCGAGATAAAGTTGTAAATAATACAGACCTGGTTCCTGTCTTATATGGCACAGAATCTAATGATGGAGATAACTTTGAACCCATAATGGTACAAATTAAGAATTGCCTGAAGGTGAAATATAGTGTTATGTGAGCATGAAATAGGGAAACCTAACCTGATCTGGGAAGGATTTCAGAAGACTATCCTGAGGAAGTGACCTTAAAACAGGAACCTGGGGCTGGCCCCGTGGCTCACTCGGGAGAGTGCAGCGCTGGGAGCGTAGCGGCGTTCCCACCGCAGGTTCGGGTCCTATATAGGGATGGCCGGTGCGCTCACTGGCTGAGCGCGGTGCAGGCAACACCAAGCCAAGGGTTGCGATCCCCTTACCGATCACAAAAACGACCAAAAAAAAAAAAGACAGGAACCTGAAAGCTGACTAGAAACAAGTTGGTCAAGCAAGAGGTGGAGGAAAAGCGGGCCGAGCAGAGGGAAGGTGCTGAGGTAGGAAGCAGCTTGACATGTTGGATGAATTGGAAGAAGACCGGTGTAGTGTTGGAGCAGCTGAAAGAGACTGGTAGAACTGGGGTGTCCTGAGCAAACACGAGCAAATGGAGAGTAGCTCAAGATGCAGCTGGAGCCGTAGGCAGGGGCCAGGTAAGACAAGACATCTAAAACCCAGCAGCAGGCAAGCTTTGAAATCATGGCTAATAATTAAAAGCCACAGCAGAGAGTATTATGATAGACCACATGTAATTAATTGTTGGTTATATGTGTTTTGGTCTCACTTAGAGACTCTTTTAGTGATTAGTGTGGCTGTCAAGCAAGGTTCAACTCCGTGAGACTAGAGAGGTTCAGTGAGAATAGATGGATGATAGAGGCAGGGCTCAGAAGTCCTCTAGTCCTCTGGAAGAATGAAGTGTGTCAGGGTCTCTTCACCACTAGTTGCCATAGTTCACTGCCCATCTACTTCTGGGGCATTCTGGAAGACGAGGAGTGGATTCTGTTTCCCAAGATGACTGTGTACCCTGATGAAGTTCTAGGCCTACTCTCAGTCCAGGCTGGATTATAGGTACGTTCATCCATAGGCTCCTTGGCTTCATGCCTCCTAATCACTTAAATCACTATGCATCTGCACTATATCCCCTTTTTCTCTCCCTCTCCTCAGTAAAGTGGCAAATGATGGAGTGTGGTATTTTGATATTATTTAGATCCACAACCAGGAAAGACAGGCCAGCTAGAGAAGCATCAGTTACATATGTGCCATTATCTGCAAATTGATTAGCTAATTATGACTTTTTTCTTACATTCTCAAGTTAATCATTTATTTAGCTATTCTTTTACTTTACCAAAAGTATGTTTATTGCTTTTTAAGCAATAACATAACCAGAGTGATTAAAAAGTAAGCACAGGGGGCTGGCCAGTTAGCTCACTTGGTCAGAGTACGGTGCTGATAACACCAAGGTCCGGTGTTCGATCCCTATACCAACCAGCCACAAAATACAAAAAAACAAACAAAAAGCCACTGAAATATTCTGTCACTTTGCCAATGTTTTGATGTAACAGCAATCAATGGAGATACCATTAAGTTGAAAAAGGAGGTATCAGCACAGGAACATATTACTAATTTGCTGAGCTTTAGCTGATTAATGAAGGATATTAGCTGATTGATGACTATTACCTGAAACAGATACTGAAAAGTGTTTTTCAACTAACTTTATTTCTCTTGAAAACTGCAACTTGGCTTACACTGACTCAGAAGTTGATCTGTTTTGTGTGTTCACGTGTAACAATAGGGAAAATTATGGTTTTACTTACAATCTCTCCCTGAGCAGATTTACACACACACACACACACACACACACACACACCCATCTGGGACCTGGGAGTGTATTAACTAAATGATCCTTACTTTCTGTAGGGTACAAACTGTGGCTTTGGTAATTGGTCTTGACATGCAGTACCCAGCACAGCACTCTTTGTACCATGTTAATTCATTTTAAGAAATGTTAAAAGTTTAAGGGATTTTATTATTCTTTTACTCTTCTGTGTCTATGATTTATTTGTAGGAATATAAATCAAAACACATTCTTAGAACATTTAAGATCTCTTTAAGGTATTTTTTTGTGCTTATCCTGGAAGTATAGAATACTTTGTATACCAGAGCTAATGACAACAGATCTTTAGGGTTTCTGTGTTATAACAATTGCCACTGGGCAGACAGCTGCCAAACATCTTGCAATTATTCTGATATATGTCGGCTTTCATATTCTTTTTCTTTCAGAACAAATGCCCTGAGGTAGAGGAGTTGGTCTTCAGCCATTTTGTGATATGTAATGACACACAGGAGACACTGCGGTTTGGCCAGGTGGATACTGATGAAAATATTCTGCTGGCGAGTCTCCACAGTCACCAGTACAGCTGGCGCTCTCACAAATCCCCACAGGTATTTGAAAAACAGCCTCACAAACACAGCAATTGTTAAGGTTGGGGATTCATTCTTGCTGCATTTGTGTGCCTGTGTCCAGTTATTTCCCTTTTCCAAGTCTCCCAAGGAACTGCACAGTGTAGCTGCATGTGACAGAAACCCAGATATGTTTAGAGATGGGAGACCAGTGCACCTGTGTTTCTCTTGGAATGCAGCATTTTTGTGCTTAGCATGGGTGCTGGTTGGGCATCAGCATATGGTAATGAAGAGATTGGACTCCAAAGCTGACCTGTGTAGATTTGGATCCTGGCTCTGTGTATCCTTGCTTTACCTTCTGTGCTTCAGTTTTCTCATATGTAAAATAGGGATAAAAAAATAGTATCTATTTCATAGTGTTGTGAGGACAAAATGAGTTAATATGTATAAGGCACCAGACTAGCGCTTGATATACTATAAGCATTATTTGTTGGGTATTATTATTTTATTCTTTTATTTCTTTTATTCCAATTTTTGCTGTGCTTGTACTCTGTACCAGGTACATGCTAGGCACTGGGAATTCAAAGACCAGTAAGTCACAGTCCTTGTCCTCCAAGGACAGCTTATGATCTGTGATGCAGTGAGCCTGATGACAAACTATGCCCAAGGGAGCACTGAGAAAAGTCATAGCAAAGGATGTCTGTTTTCTAAGTAGTATAATTCCATTTTCCTGTCACTTTAGATGGAAATAATTAGAGAGAAGTGCCCTGCAGGGATAATATGAGGATGAATTAAATACAAAGATGTGGTCTTAAATGAGTAAAAGAAATTCTAGGGTACTCTCAAGAATAACGTATTTCTAAAGTTCTGGGTAATAGAGAAACTACTGTCTGCTTGTGATTAAAAGAAAGTCATTAGATTAGAGAACAAGTTTTCCCATCTGGTCTATAGAACAGCTTCAAAATATGTTATACCCTCAGGTTCCATCTTGCTTCCTCCCCCCGCCCCCCAGTAGCTAGATTTCAATTTCTTCTTTTTGCATCAGATTGCCATACTATTGGTATAAATTTTGGAAAAGCAGATATAGTGTAATATTTCTTGTTTAAGTATATTTATTTAATTCAAATTAACCTGACAGAAAATTAAGTCTACATAAATCTTTAAAATAAAAGTTCTTACAAGAATTTCTCACATGATATTGTATTCATATTTTTAGGGGGAATCACATGCCCTTATTTTCTAATTTCCTCTTGAGTAATGCCCATGTTAGAGTGTTTTTAAGTTGTTTGCCCCTTGTAACATAATTAAAGAATATTTTGTTTGTTTCAAAATTAAGTTGTTTTTATTTTTTTCTTACTGATTAAAAACGTGAGAGTGTAGAAATATAGATGTATAGACAAAACAAAAGCACATACCTGTAATCCCAACAACACAGAGAAAGCCCATGTTAACACATGTGGTATAGACTTTTAGATCTTCTAAAGGTTTCTGTGGTAATGGCATTCCCAGCAGTGAACAGTGGCAGGAAAGGAGCCTTTGAGAAGCTGCAGTAATGTGTAATTGTACACTATGCATATAGTCACTTTACCCGTGTACACACAGCAGGCTGCAGGCCTTAGCCAACAGAAAGCAGAGCAGAAGCTTCACTCTCCTCACAGCCATGTAAAGATGCATGGCTAGCATAGCCCTCAATGACGTTCAGGATTCCCTAGACCCTGGGTGGGGCCGAGATGGGAAGAGTGATCATAAGAACAGCTGACTCAGGAGCGTAGGGGACAGCAGTCTTCATGTTATGAATGTGCAGTTTCTGGGTGGGGAGGAGAAACAGGAAAGAAGAATGGATGACCACTGTCACCACTATACCTTTCATGTTTATACTCTTTTGTACTTTCTCAAGGCTTTATTGTATTTATTACTAGTTTTATTTTCACAACATCCCTGGATAGTTTGTCCTATTTGTTATGTATATTTCAAGGAGACAAATAGAAATGTTAAGTTAGATAATAGTAGAGTTGGAACTGAATCCCTTATCTCTTGATTCTCAATATAGTGTTATTTCCATAACATTGTCTCACTCCCGTAGGTTCTGGCAGCATTACTAGTTTGTAAGAACAGCCAAGCTGTGAAGTTTTAAGAGAAGGGCTGAGAAATCACTGTTATAGTAGCCCACATAAATCTAAAGCTAGACTAATATAGGATTCTTAGTCCAAGTGTGAACTCTGGCAGAGTCTTAACTGTATTGCCCCAAACAGTGAGAACCTTTTAATGGCAAACTGGAAACATAGGACAGGTATCTGTAAACTATTTATAGACTAATATAGGATTCTTAGTCCAAGTGTGAACTCTGGCAGAGTCTTAACTGTATTGCCCAAAACAGTGAGAACCTTTTAATGGCAAACTGGAAACATAGGACAGGTATCTGTAAACTATTTATTTCTTTTAAATTTGTAACTGCATCCTCTGGATACAAATTTTAAGATGAGTTACAGTCTTTATAACCTTTAGGCTAAAACTTAGATCAAATTTGTAGAAAACAGTGTCTCTTTACTACATCTGTGATGCTGAAGTAAGTGTGTTTTAGGACCCTCTGAAGCCAGAGGCCTTAATGGGCCCAGAGGGTCTTCATGGAATTCCTTGCTCCACAATTGCAAATTCTGCTGTGTTCTAATGAGACGTTACATCTGAGGATCAGAAAAACTAGTCACTTAGCTTCAAACTGCACCTGGACCTAGTCAAAGACAAGTAAGCAAAATGTTCCTTTTTCCAGACTCCCAAGTCATATCCTGCATTGCCCAGCAAGCTTGGTTTTAGGAACGTTTGTGTCTGCATGTTTATGCTACCTTGGGTGTTAGTCAATTCATAGTCTCAGGGAGGATTTCTAAAGTTCATAGAACTTAATTCCACTAAACAATGTGGCTTATATTGCAGAGATCAAGAAAGTGGCAATGACACCTGGAAAGGTTTCAAAGAGGTCAAGATATCTGAGAACCACACAGGAGGTTGCTAACAACACTAAGTCCCAATAGGATGGGAAGAAACATGGACACAACCAATTCCAGAAATCCAAAGCTGAGAAACCTTTTAGAATTGAAAAGTCATAAACTCTCCTTATAGTTTTTAACACGTGCTTTGAGGCAGAATCACTTAAAATGCTGGATATCCCACAACAATTTCTTGCCTAAACAAACAAAGGAAGAACAAAAGTATTTCCTAGGGAATAATTGCACATATTCAGCTGCACACAATCACAGATGCCACCACAAAGGTCCCTTAAGTATTCCGATTTAGTAGACTTCAGATCAGGTCAATGAGAACAATAGCCAGCAAGGGATTGGTCTTCAAAGAAGGACTTCAAGTTATGCATTGTTGANCCCAGAATATGGGCAATATATGCAGCTCAGAGTCAAGGACAACTTTGCTTAATTTAGCCAAACCACATACAGTGGCACCTCCACCAACTAGTAGGATTTATGTATAGGCTGCTCTAGCTAACTTCCTTTTCTGGTTAATAGAGAGCATTGTTGGTTAATTAAACCACTTGGGATGGGAATGCTCCTACCTTGTATGTAGGATTTATGCTTGCTATTACCCTCTAACATGAACAATTTATGGAGTATGCATTTTTTTTTAGATTGCATAATTCCAATTTTCAATGACTTAATTTTATTAATCAAACTACTAAGCAGTTGGAAATGGGCTCTAGACAGAGCTATAGAAAATAATAAAATATTACTCCAAAAGGAATATAAGTTTCATAAGCTCATGAAAATGGCAGATATTTTAAAATACAAAATATAGCAAGGTAAGAATTTTGATGAGCATCTTGGAAATACTCATTAAACAGACATAACGACAAAAATATAAATTCTACATTACTTTAAGTCAGAAGTTGACAAACTTTTTCTGCAAAGGGCCAGATAGTAAATATCTTAAGCTTTCAGGGTCTTCCAGTCTCAGTCACAGCTTCACAACTTTGTGCAAAAGCAGCCATACATGGTATATAAGTGAATGACTATAGCGGTGTTCCACTAAAACTTTATGTATGGGCAATAAAATTTGAATTTCATAAAATTTTCACACGTCATGAAATGTTATTCTCTTGATTTGTTTCAACCATTTAAAAATGTAAAAACCATTCTTAGCTCACAGGCTATCCAATAATAGACAACATGCCAAATTTGTTCCATGAGCCCAAGTTTGCCATACCTTGCTTTAAGATCTCTCTGTTGATAAAATTCAATAGGCTAAAGGTTTGATTTTAAATTGTCTTCACTCTGACCTAAATGGTATTCCTAGTACTTGAAAGCTTGGTAAAAAGTTTCAGGAATTGAGAAATGATAGGTAATAATTTAAATCTAACTCCTGTATAATCAACCTGTACTCACCAAATAACAGGAAAATATTTCTATTGTACTCATTCAGGGCCTGATCAGTACATAGAAAGTTCTCCAGTTCTCTTTTTGTTATGTAAAAATATTTTAAAGTGAGATCTGATCATTTTTCCATTTGTGTAAAGGGGAAAGCAGTGGGTTTTGAGTATCTCCTTATCTTTATGGTAATTCCAACTAGTTGTCAATTTCATTAACTAGACTAATTCTTATTAAGTTACCACTCTTTCCAAATCCTTTTATATAATGTATGTACTCACATATATCTAGAGGAAGAATACATTCCTTGTTGCCACAGTCACAATTAAAAAATTTAAAAAGTAGACTTCA